AGCTAATAAATAGTCTATAATAAAAACTACTGAAAGTCTAGAGAATTTTAGCGTTCAATATCTTGGTATTTTATTGAACGCTGAGTTTGTATTACGTATATGAGTATACCCGAAACATTCCGAATACGAGCGTTCAATATCGAACGTCCCGTTGTAAACAAAAAATGTCGTCTGGTCAATTTTGCAATGGCAAATTTATGATAGACAGTGGCAGTTAGGTAAGATATGTTTATTTTCACACAAAGTTGAAATTATTAATTAAGTACAGTTCTGTGTAAAAATCATGCAAAGGGTGATATATGAGGGGTCTCAGAATTTGATGATTTTCCACTCTGACATAGTTTTCTGTTGCGCTATGAACCATGTATGCAAAAGGAAAAAAGTTTTGATTTGAGGTTACCATGGAAACATGGGTAAAGAAATTCCCTAGCAACCAGCGAATTTTCAGTTACGATGAACTAAAAAATCTCTTATCTTTCAGGCTCAAATTAAATGTAAATACTAAAAGAATTTCTTTTTTATTGCTGTTATTCTCAAGATAATGGTCTTAACAGTTTTCACAATCAAAAATATAGAAATAAGATTTAAAGATATATCTGTGATAGATGTGGGAATATGTTTTTCCTTTTTTTTTTTTGCTGACTCAGCTTTTTCCTTGATTTTGGAATTACTCAAGGTCTAATTAATCCAGTGATGGACCTCATACAGACATCCTGTGTATATAACATGAAAGCAGAGGATTTTGTCTTTTAGAATTTGAATTCAGAAGCATATAATTTTTAATCCTATCCATTGCCCAGCAACAAAAATGGATGTTTTGATGAATAAAAAGAGAAAAAATGTAAAATGCTAAAGTCATAAATAACATAGCTTGTTATTTTTGAATATTTACATTTGCAAATGTTTTCCTTTATATAACACTATTAAAAGCAACGCGTATCTATATCCGTATAAACACGGGTTCCTCGCGTCATAAACGTTCGACGTAATTTCTCAGTGACGTCATAAAGGGTCGACGCGCAATCAATAGATCAAACTCGTGCCGTTGAGTTTGAAAAAATAAAACATTTCACGCGTTAAAGGTTATAATCAGGCTAATAAATAATATGAATAAATCACAAATGTAAATATAAGTAATAAGGTATCATTTTAAAACATCTATCGGGATATAAATACGGGTTGGTACGAGATCAAATTTACCATAAAGCCCTTCGGGCTTTATGGAATTTGATCTCGTGACCAACCCGTATTTATATCCCGATAGATGTTTAAAAATGATACCTTATTTCTTAAATACTCTAAACAAATTCTACAAAAAAATTGAAATTTTTGAGACCATTCTGCAAACTAGGGAATAATTTACAATTTGTTATCTCTATGGTAACAGCAATTTCCCCTTAGCAACACATCATAGAATAATAATTTTAGCATGTTCACGTACATGTTGTTAAGGATTCTTCAAAGCATGCTGTAAAATTGTGATTAGGCAAATTTTACAATGCATTTAGCATCTTGTAAAATTCTATTTTTCACTTGATTTTCCCATGGAAACGATTCTGAGCACATAGCAACCAATGTAACCTATGTAGAGTTAAGAGTCACTCTCTGTAGGAAATACAACTGTTTTGATACTCAGAATCAAGATTACAGGACATTGACATGTAAAATCATTGCTGGTACAAAATATACATAAATATATACATTTTGCAATCAGGATTTTAAAATTCAAACTAAGAATGTTACCATGGTAATGGGTATGAACATTTTTATTTTGTTTATATCATTTCAGTTTTATTTCTTCATTTTCATTCAGAGCTCATTGATCTTTCTAAATTAAAAAAAAGAAAGAAATATACAAGCAGGGGTTTTCAAGCTTGTGCATTTGTACAGCCAACTCGTGCCAATATAAGTTCAATAACCCTATAACCCTATACATGTAATATATATATATATATATATATATATATATATATATATATATATATATATGTATATATATATATATGTATATAATTTTTTACTGTGTAATTCAATAAATCTGATTGGTTTGCTTGCTATCACGTGCAAAATTATATTTTACGATATTGACTTGAGTTACTAAAAATAACTTAGGGAAAAACCAAAGATGTGTTTATAATGGTGAAAAGTCTTTAAAACTTACAAATCCCTTCATAATGATTTGTTTGTCTCTTTCTTTTCCAAAGAAAATAATATCAGGGATGGGGTAATTGAAAAAAGTAATTGTAATTGAGTGTAATTAATTACAATTTTCAAAGTAATTGGAAGTAATTTGTAATTGATCATTATTTCAATTATTTGTAATTGAATATAATTTAAAATTACATTGAAAAAACCCCCCTGTAATTTCAATTACTTTTCAATTACATTTCAATTACTTTACATAATACATATAATGTGTATTTAGTAGGAAAATTTCACATTTTACAGTTATTCTAATTTATTCATAGGAAGCCCTTCTGTTTTTCAAAATCTTAAAACTTTTTTTATATCTTGATAAATGAATTTGATATATTGGCTTGTTTATAAAAATATTAGTTTGTTTTATAATCAAAATGCACAGAAAGAATTAATACTAGTCTAATGTTTATCAAAAATTTTGTTCTTCCTCTCATTGGTATAGGCATGAATTGTGTTGCTTGATTATCCAAAAAAAAAAAAAAAGAATAGAAAATAATTTAATGTGTCATAAAGACCTGCCTTGTTGCCCTTCAACTCCCAGCTGTAAATTGCTATCAAAACAGCCCTCCAAAATTTTATATAATTCTATACCATGCTTTGTTTAAATTCAAAGAAATGACCATTAGAGGTGATTTATTAAATACTATTAAGAATGCTCTACAATTTATATACTTCAGAAAAGAAATATATATTATATTGAATCACTATTTTAACATTTAAACAGATCTTTATGTACATGTATGCATTTGGTATCTTCAATAGTTATTACATAAATCAAGTATTATTTATTGCATGAAAATTGTCAACATTTGCAATTTAAGGTGTTTAGATTGCCTACCTGTGAAATAATTTGAAATTATTTTATGGTTGATTCATAAACTCTTGAAAACTCGCTTTTAATCAAATTTCATAAAGGCGGTCAATTGATAAATGTACATGTACTAAGTCTTGTGTTGATGAAACACACAAACTCTCTGGTCATCCAACCCCATTTTTCAGACCAGCAAGCTACAGACCTGCAGTTACACACAAACATGACAGACACCTGACATTGTTTATTTTAAATATTCCCCCTACCTTTAATTTACTGTATTTGTTCTTCAAGATTTTTGAAAGTGAAACAAAAGTAATTGAATTGTATTTAATTACATTCTTCAAAGTAATTGAGAGTAATTAATTACATTTGTAAAAATCAATGTAATTGTATTGCAAGTAATTGACAAAATTCTCAATGTATTTGAAAGTATTTAATTACATTTTAAAGTAATTGACCCCAACCCTGAATAATATAACAAATGTAGCCATTTGATTCGGTCAATCCATAGGTATATCGACTTTACAGGAAAGCATATCGACTTCGCACTTCGTGCGCAGTCGATATGCTTTTCTGTGAAGTCGATATATCTATGGATCGACCTCATAAAAAGGCTATATTTGTATTTTATATATTTTATATATATATATATATATATATATATATATATAGAGAGAGAGAGAGAGAGAGAGAGAGAGAGAGAGAGATTTCTCTATTATTCCAAACTCTTTGATTGGCTCAAACTTGATCACATGATCAAGTATATAACATATGCTGCAGCATATAGACTTATGTTACTATTTATAGATTCTGAAATGCATATTGATCTTGTTTCTATAAATGGAAATAATCTTCTATTAAACTGTAGTGATGACTTCACAATAGCTAATATGACTTGATATTTTGGGGGGAAAAATTACAATTCAATTCCTATTTATAATTGTGATGGTCTGTAATAACTGGCAAGATGTAACAATGCATTGATAAGGATCTACTTTATATTAAAACATATAAGATATGTTTTTCATGAATTGATATAATATAATTCAAAAACTGTAGCCTTTTAAATAACATGTAGTACATTCCTTAAATTACTTTATCAGTATAAAGAAAACATAATTACATTAAACAGCTTTATTTATCTTTATCACTAGTCAATATGTGTTTAAAAAAGACGAAAGAGAAAACTTGTGGATTGTTCCACTTTTTTTAAATTTTGCTTTGTCGATCTCTAAAAAAATGATATAACAAATGTAGCCTTTTCATTCGGTCAATCCAAAGATATATCGACTTCGTGCTCGGTCGGTCAGTATGCTTTTCTGTGAAGTCGATATATCTATGGATCGACCTCATAAAAAGGCTATATATATATATATATATATATATATAATTTTGCGTTAGTTACGCGTTAAAACGCGAAAGTTTCTAACGCGGATTCGCGTTATGTCGCGATTTTTTTTCCTACGAAAATGAGCTCAGTAGGCTTTCGTAACAAATAATCGATTGGTTGTTCAAAATTATAACTAAAACTTAACATTATTTCATAAGTATGTTAATTTTTCTTGAACCTTTGATGTTTTTTTTTTATAATTATGTTTTATCATTTTTTTAAAACTGAAAACATTAATGTTACGTATCTTTGAATTTATGTTCATTTGGTTTGTGCCATAAACGACCACAATGCATACCTTACGAGTTTACATTGAATTTTCACAAATACATTGTAATTGTATAACACTAATATAAGATATGACTTAGACTAAAATAATAAGTTCCTGAATGGCACCGAATAAATCCTTTTTATAGAAAACCGGACAATCCGGTGTGAAGAAAGCTTTCTGATCTCTATCTCAAATCATCATTATCTCTTTGGTATAATATATATATATATATATATATATATATATATATATATATATATATATATATATATATATATATATATATATATATATATATATATAGTCAGTAAATTTGTAAATTCCAGCTATGATGAATGGGACAACAAATTTTTTGGGATCAGCGACCTGGAGGCTGAAATCGTCGATCCACAACAACATTTTGTTTTGGAAACTGTGCATATGGCTCTCGAAGACGGCGGTTTTACGCAAGAAAAACTGGATAGTTCCGATACCGGTGTTTATATAGGTAATATTCTTATAGGTTATAAGGGATTTTAGTGCCACACTTCTCTTTCAAAAATTTTATTTTTATATCTTATTTTTATTTTAATATTCATTTTATATTTTTATTTTTTATTTTATATTATTTTTCATTTCTTGTTTTTTCACTTCTATTTTTAATGTTTTTATTTCTTGATTTAATTCAAATTTCGTGTTTTAATTTTCCATCTTTTATTTTAATTTCTTAATTTCATTATTACGGAAGCCGGTAGGTGAGAGGTACAAAAAAAATATAGATCTGGCGGCCGCCAGAAAATTATATGGCGGCGGCCAGATAATTTTCTGGCGGCCGCCAGTTGTTTATGTGGCGGCCACCAGATAGAATATTTTTCTACCTGGCACCTAACGCCTTCCGTACATTCTATTTGAACATTACAAGCTTTCTTATTTCAGGCCCATAGGTGGGGGGGGGGGGGGGGGGCTTCCCCCCCAAAAAGAATCTGACAAGAAAAATTTTTGTTAACTATCCAATTACAGGAATTTGCCAGTACCCGTCCTTAAAGCAACAAAAAGTTGTGTGTGTGTATGTGGGGGGGGGGGGGGGGGGCAACAAGCATCTGAAGGAAAAATTACTATAGCAAAAATACTATACTCCGAATAAAGTGGGAGCGGGCGGACCCCCTGGCCCTCCATCATTCTACGGGTCTGTATTTTGATTCTAACATCTACAACTCTGTTTCAGTATACCTTCTTTTATTTTCAGTTGGAAACGAAAGTTAAAATACAAAAGTTGGAATACAAAAATAAGACTAAGAAAGTTAAAATAAGAAAGTTAGAACAAGTTACCTGGATGAAATTTTATAAGCAAATTAAGACGAAAAGGGGAGCTTCGATCTCTTATGCACGTTGAATATGCACGGATGTCTTGCGAAACAACACCATTTTACAAGCCATAATATTACTATTTTTTATAAGTTCTTGTTACCAGTAATAATACCGGTCACTTTAGCCTAGTGGTTAGGCGATCCTTTCGTGATCCCTAGGGGGAAGGGCTGGAGATCAGAGTTCGATTTTCATTCCCGGTGCCACGTCAATTATAAGACGTTTTACATACATGTAGACCCTGTACTGACTGTTCCTTTGGAATTAATAGTGAAGGTTACATGTATTTCGGATGACATTTTTAAACAAGAGGCCCAGGGGCCACATCGCTCACCTGAGCACTTTGGGTGGAAAAAAGCAGAAATCAGTTTAGTATTGAAAAGTTTAAATATAGAAAAGGGGGATGATTTAAACACTTGAATCTACACTTCCTAAGGATACTTTTTGAATCATTATGACACATAATGGCTTTGCTGTTCTTTAAAGTTGAAAATTTTTATTGAGATATTCTTTATATTCCTTTGTATAACTATGATCTCCCTGTTATGGCCCTTCTATTCTCCGGGGGTGGGGGGGGGGGGGGCTGGGGGTCATGATTTGAACAAACTTAGATCTACATTACCTGAGGATGCTTTTATATTATTATGACCAATCATGGCTTTGTTGTTCTTGAAGAATTTTAAAGATTTTTCCTCTGTATTCCTATGTAAAACTTTCATCACCCATTGTGGCCCCACCCTACCCAAAGGGGTCATGATTTGAACAAACTTGAATCTTCACTACCTGGGGATGCTTCCATACAAAATATATCTTATCATGGCTTTATTGTTCTTGAGAAAAAGATTTTTAAAGATTTATTCATATGTATTCCTATGTAAAACTTTGATCACCCATTGTGGCCCCATCCTAGCCCCGGGGGTCATGATTTGACCAAAATTGAATCTACACTACCTGAGAATGCTTCAATTTATATGACCGGTCTCAATTTTGCTGTTCTCGAGAAGAAGATTTTTAAAGATTTTTCCCATGTATTCCTCTGTAAAGCTTAGATCGCCTATTGTGGCCCCTACCCTACCCTATCCCCTCCCTGTGGGTCATGATTTGAACAAACTTGAATCTACACTACCTGAGGATGCTTCCATATAAATATGACCAATCATGGCTTTGCTGTTCTTGAGAAGAAGATTTTTAGAAATTTTTCTTATTTATTCCTATGTAAAAATTTGATCCCCCATTGTGGCCCCACCCTACCCCCGGGGGTCATGATTTGAAAAAAACTGAATCTGCACTACCTCACAATGATTCCACATAAGTTTCATGTTTTCAAGCACATTGGTTCTTGAGAAAAAGATTTTTAAATGATGCCATTAATTGTTCACAAAATCGTAATTATCTCCCATTGAAAGATGGCGTGGTCCTTCATTTGAACAAAATTGAATACCCTTTACTTTAGGCTACTTTGTGACAAGTTTGGTTGAAATTGGTCCAGTGGTTCTTGAAAAAGAAGATAAAAATGTGAAAAGTTTTCAACGACAGACAACGGACAAATTTCGATCAGAAAAGCTCACTTGAGCCTCCGGCTCAGGTGAGCTAAAACAACAACAAGAGGCCCATGGGCCACAACGCTCACCTGAGTAACTGGATTTGCTGTTCTTCACCAGATTTCCCCCTTGTAATACCTATTGCTGCTCCGCGCTACCCCTGAGGGTCATGATTTGAACAATTTAGATTCTACACTACCCCAGGATGCTTCCGCATATGTTTCAGTTTTTCTGGCCCAGTGGTTCTTGAGGAGAAGATTATTAAAGATTTTTCCTGTATATTTCAATGTAAAAATTGGATTCCCTATCGTGGCCCCGCCCTACCCCCGGGGTCATGATTTGAACAATTTAGAATCTACACTACCCCAGGATGCTTCAACATAAGTTTAATTAAGCTTTTTTGACACGGTGGATTTTGAGGAGAATTTTTTGAAAAAGAATTTCCTTTATATTTCAGTGTAAAAATTGGATTCCCTACTGTTCCCCCACCCTACCTCAGGGGGTCATGATTTGAACAATTTAGATTCTACACAACCCCAGGTTACTTCCACATAGGTTTCAGCTTTTCTGTCCCAGTGGTTCTAGAGGAGAAGATTTTTAAATGCTTTTCCTATATATTACAATGTTAAAATTGGATTCCCTATCGTGGCCCCGCCCTACCCCCGGGGGTTATGATTTGAACAATTTAGAATATGCACTACCCTAGGATGCTTCCACATAAGTTTCAGTTTTTCTTGCCCAGTGGTTCTAGAGGAGATTATTAAAGATTTTTCCTATATATTTCAATGTAAAAATTGGATTCTCCATTGTAGCCCCGCCCTACCCCCGGGGGTCATGATTTGAACAATTTAGATTCTAAACTACCCCAGAATGCTTTCATATAAGTTTCAGCTTTTCTGGCCAGTGGTTCTTGAGAAGAAGATTTTTAAAGAATTTTCCTATATATTTCAATGTAAAAATTGGATTCCCTATTGTGGCCCCGCCCTACCCCCGGGGGTCATGATTTGAAGAATTTAGAATCTACACTACCCCAGGATGCTTCCACATAAGTTTTAGCCTTTCTGGCCCATTGGTTCTTGGGAAAAAAAATTTTGAAACTTAAAACTTGAAACTTTTATTTTCACAAAAGCCCCCACATGGGGTATGTTAGTACAGTAAGAGTTTAACAATTGAACAAATCAATATGTGAACAGTTAAAACATAATGAACCACAAAAAGTTCTTTGATATGGACAGTTCTGACGGTTGTATAAAAAAATCGTTTAATGTTTACATTTTGGGGATGTTCAGGCATGAAATAATTTAAGAACAGTTTTACAAAACTTAGCTAAACCTATTAGTTCATATATATCAGAAGTATTCATCAATTTTTAATGACCCCACCCTATTTTTGTCTTTTCTTAATTATCTTCCCTTGTAAAGGGGGTTGGCCCTTCACTTTAAAAATTTAAACTCCCCTTTACCCAAGGATGCTTTGTACCAATTTTGGTTAAAATTGGCTCAGTGTTTGGCGGGTATTTTTCATGATGTTTTATGACAATCAGTGCACATGCTAAATAGTAAAGACTTAATCTTAAATATCAAAAATATGCCGTATATTGGAACTATTCACTTTTTTGTAAAGTATGTCAAAGGTCAAGGGTCGCAAGATTGGTAACCGTGGCAATTCACAAAAGCCATAGTGCCAAGCAATATATGTGCAAAATATCAAGTCCATATCTCTTACAGTTCTTGAGATACAAGGTGTGACAGACGGACAGAAAGACGCCGGGTAAAGTGATCCCTTTGTGCCGCTCTGCTCTGCAGGCGACACAAAAAGAAACGCATAATAGGAATAATACGTTGAATTATATATAATAATTTTATCATACCATTTTTTTTAAATGAATATGATTTATAATATTTTTTTCTCCCGAAATTGGGCGACTGGCCGCTGTACTACAGTCTAAAATTGCAAGAGGTTTTAATGTTTGCACAAAGCACCGTATCTAACTTATAAAACAGATACCAACAGCGTGGTAAAACAATATGGCAGACCACGCGTGACATCAGCAGCCAAGGGTGTATTGGTTTGCGTAATCTTCATCAATGTTCCACAATAACGTCGTCTATACAGCATTAGCTATCCCTGAACTGCACAGACTTTAAAACAAGACCGTTTGCAATTGACTACAGAATGCTGGAATTGTCGCCATTCCTCTGACCACACAACACCGCAAATATCGATTAAAAAGGTTTCAGACAGAGTATGGCCACAGCAATACGGCTGAACAGTTTGGTTTAGCTACAAGCCCAACTTTTTTATTAGCTCACCTGAGCTGAAAGCTCAAGTGAGCTTTTCTGATCACATTTTGTCTGTAATCCGTCTGTCCGTCTGTCTGTCCGTCTGTCTGTAAACTTTTCACATTTTCGACTTCTTCTCCAGAACCACTGGTCCAATTTCAACCAAACTTGCCACAAAGCATCCTTGGGTAAAGGGGATTCAAGTTTGTTCAAATGAAGGGCCACACCCTCTTTCAAGGGGAGATAATTCAGAAATAGTGAAAATTTGGTGGCATACTTTAAAAATCTTCTTCTCAAGAACCACTGGCCCAAAAAAGTTG